AGCGAATATTTAACATAAATTTAATAATAGTTTAAATTTTATTAAAATAAAAATTGTGACAACAAATAAAACTGGTTCTAAATAAGTAATAAACTTTATAAAACATATAGTGATTTATGTTAAATATGAAGTTAATAAAGTTTTCGACTTTTAATAAATTAATTAAATATTTTATTTTAAATATTCTCTGATTTGTTGTTCAATTAATTTGCGGGCGTTTTTCAAACTCTGACTGTCCGTAGGTTTTGAGCCCCAAAAGTCGGAGACATGAGCGCCGCCCTCAATGATCGCTGTTTTTGTGCTATTGTTTAGGTCTTCGAGAATACCGCTGGCTTTCCAGGGGTCGAGTGAGCCGTTTGTGAGCACAACGTTTGTTATGTTCGGCCGTTTGCCCCCATATGTGGCGACTGTCCGGTCGACCGCTTTCTGTATGGTTTGGGCATTGATTTGTGGTCCGTATACTTGAGTGCATTGTTTAGTCCAAAACTCGACGGGAATGTTGTGTCCAAATGGACTGTTTGGGAGATCACTGGTCACAAAATCGGCGGTTGAAGTGCACAATTGATATACCCATTGTCTCGCTAGTAAAATAAATTAAATTTTATTAACTAATTTTATACTTAATTATTAAGTAGAATACGTAAAACATTATATAAAATAATAGTACATAAGTAAACGTATGTACTGCACATTATATATTTATTTAAAAGCCGCATACATACCCCATTGCTTGGGATCAACAGTTGTATTTTGTAAAACTTTGACAAAATCATCATGCTTTATTCTATTACAAGCTAGTTGTTGACTCGTAGGCACCAATAGACTCCAATACCTTTTCAGTGGTGTACCGCCTGAGGGGTCGTTCATTGTCTTAATGATGTGATCAATACCCGCATTGCTTTGAACAGATCCGCCGACATTCATGGCTAACGTTTGCGCCAAATACCGGATATCATCGATATTTTTGCCGTCAAACGAATCGCACAAATTCAATGTTTTGCGCAATTTTACGACACCTTCCGGTGTTTTCAGGAGGTCTTCCATCTCGTAGTTGGCTTTCCTACCAATGATAAAACATAATATAAAATACAATTTATATAAAATATTATTATTTAATAAAAAGGATACCTTATATTATCTGAACACTCCTTTCCCACCGCTTCGGCGGCCACTTGTAAATACCCGGTGTTGTTGTTTGTAGAGCCCACGGGTGCGCTCGAAGACACGGCACCGACAGTTATGTTGGGGTACTTCTCCCGAAACCAAACGGCAAGTTTGCCCGAATAGGACAGACCCCACACAACCCATTTGCTGCCTTCAATTGACAACTTTTTAGTCATTCCCAGTATAAACTGTTGCGCGTCTTTGAGCGCCAATTCAAGGGTTAAATATTTCAAGTTTTCAATGGACAGGTCTTGTGTGGGCACAGACCGGCCGTAATACCGGTGCTCTAACATTATCGCCAATGCGTTGTACTTTTTGGCCATTTCCAGCCAATAGCGATCGAGATTAGTATAGGGCTCGTCCATTGGAAACTCACCAGATAGAAATAGAAATACTGGTCCACCCGGTTTGTAATGGGTATCGTTATAGACATAATAGAGCTATTTATGAATATAATTTATTTATAAATTAATTTTTATAATTTTTTGTAATTATTTAAGCATTATTTACCTGTTTAAAAGTTCTGTCGTCCGTTTTGTTAAAGTGATCCAATCTCTGGTTAAACCAGTGGTCCTGTGGTTTCTCATACGACTGATCATTATTACTAACAATCGGTGGTCTAATAAAACCGTATCTATCGGTCAGTCGACCCATAGATAACTTGATGCCATCATTCGGTTCACAATAGGTATAACCTATTAATACAAAACTTAATAATAATAAATTGTAATTCATTGTTGAATATAATGAGATATTCAATAAATAAAAATAATGTGATTTATATTTCGAAAACAATTCCTGTTTATATACTCAATACTTCCTAATTGTTTGAGTAGTTTGTTATCACTTATAAGAAAGCATTAATAGGTTTCCAATAATTTCAAGATAATTCTTGTTATTAAACTACTTTACAGTACTGTATAGTACATACGGTCCGTCATTTCACAATTAGTTTATAAGTAATTCTATGATAAATGAATTAATTGATAAAAATATATAATATATCAGCATAAAAATAAATACACCTGTATAATCTATATATAAATAGAGAGAGAGAGAGAGAGAGAGAGAGGTTTTAATTTTCAATAAGCTTTATGTAAGACAATAGCAAATAATATAAAAATATATTAATAATAATGTTATTAATTTAATTTATTCGATAGTCTATAATAGCAGAATGTAAAGTTTTCAATAGCGCTCACAAATTAACTAATTTACACATCAGCGAATATTTTAATTAATTGTAATTTTAGTTTAAATTTTATTAAAATAAAACAATTGTGACAACAAACAAGAAAACTGGTTTTAAATAAGTAATAAAATTATGTTTTATAAAACATGTAAAGATTTATGTTAAATATTTTTTTAAATAAATAAAAATATTTATTAATAAGTAAATTCATTCATTATTTTATTTCAAATATTCTCCGATTTGTTGTTCAATTAATTTGCGGGCGTTTTTTAAACTCTGACTATCAGTAAGTTTTGAGCCCCAGAAGTCGGAGCAATGGGCGCCGCCTTCAATGACCGCTGTTTTTGTGTTATTGTTTAGGTCATGAAGAATACCGCTGGCCTTCCAGGGGTCGAGTGAGCCGTTTGTGAGCACAACGTTTGTTATGTTTGGTTTTTTGCCCCCATATGTAGCGACTGTCCGGTCGACCGCTTTCTGTATGGTTTGGGCATTGATTTGTGGTCCGTATACTTGAGTGCATTGTTTAGTCCAAAATTCGACGGGAATGTTGTGTCCGAACGGACTGTTTGGGAGATCACTGGTCACAAAGTCGGCGGTTGAAGTGCACAACTGATATACCCATTGTCTCACTAGTAATATAAATTCAATTTTGTTAACTAATTTTATATTTAATTATTAAGTAGAATACGTAAAACATTATATAAAATAATATTACATAAGTATATGTACTGTACATTATATATTTATTTATAAGCCGCATACATACCCCATTGCTTGGGATCAACAGTTGTATTTTGTAAGACTTTGACAAAATCATCATGCTTTACTCTATTACAAGCTAGTTGTTGACTCGTAGGCACCAATAGACTCCAATACCTTTCCAGTGGTGTACCGCCTGAGGGGTCGTTCATTGTCTTAATGATGTGATCGATACCCGCATTGCTTTGAACAGATCCGCCGACATTCATGGCTAACGTTTGCGCCAAATACCGGATGTCATCGATATTTTTGCCGTCAAACGAATCGCACAAATTCAATGTTTTGCGCAATTTTACGACACCTTCCGGTGTTTTCAGGAGGTCTTCCATCTCGTAGTTGGCTTTCCTACCAATCATAAAACATAATATAAAATACAATTTATATAACATATTATTATTTAATAAAAGAGCGTACCTTATATTATCTGAACACTCCTTTCCCACCGCTTCGGCGGCCACTTGTAAATACCCGGTGTTGTTGTTGGTAGAGCCGACGGGTGCGCTCGAAGACATGGCACCGACAGTTATGTTTGGGTACTTCTCCCGAAACCAAACGGCAAGTTTGCCCGAATAGGACAGACCCCACACAACCCATTTGCTGCCTTCAATTGACAACTTTTTAGTCATTTCCAAAATGAATTGTTCCGCGTCTTTGAGCGCCAATTCAAGGGTTAAATATTTCAAGTTTTCAATAGACAGGTCTTGTGTGGGCACAGACCGGCCGTAATACCGGTGCTCTAACATTATCGCCAATGCGTTGTACTTTTTGGCCATTTCCAACCAATAGCGATCGGGATTAGTATAGGGCTCGTCCATTGGAAACTCACCAGATAGAAATAGAAATACTGGTCCACCCGGTTTGTAATGGGTATCGTTATACACATAATAGAGCTACATATAAATATAATTTATTTATAAATTAATTTTTACATTTTTGTATTGCTGTTTTTGCATTAATTACCTGTTTAAAAGTTCTGTCGTCGGTTTTATTGAAGTGATCCAATCTCTGGTCAAACCAGTTGTCCTGTGGTTTCTCATAAGACTGATCGTCATTACTAACAACCGGTGGTCTAATAAAACCGTATCTATCGGTCAGTCGACCCATAGATAATTTGATGCCATCATTCGGTTCACAATAGGCATAACCTATTAATACAAAACTTAATAATAAATTGTAATTCATTTTTGAATGAGATATTCAATAAATAAAAATAATGTGATTTATATTTCGAAAACAATTCCTGTTTATATACTCAATACTTCCTAATTGTTTGAGTAGTTTGTTATCACTTATAAGAAAGCATTAATAGCCTATTAATAATAGGTTTCAAATAATTTCAAGATAATACTTGTTATTAAACTACTTTATAGTACATACGGTCCGTCATTTCACAATTAGTTTATAAGTAATTCTATGATAAATGAATTAATTGATAAAAATATATAATATATCAGCATAAAAATAAATACACCTGTATAATCTATATATAAATTGACTTAATGTTTTGACGATCATTACTATGATATTATATGTTTAGTAAAGTTTGAAATTGCATTAACATAAATTAAAATGATGTAATGATTTAAGTAAACCACTTAAAGGTTCTGCTTTAGAAATAGTAGTAAATAGGGTTATAGACGACCAAACAAACACAATGTGAACAAAAAATACAGTTTATTGAAATATAATTATACAGTATAATTAAAATTTTGTAATTTTAAGAAAAATAGTAATTATTAAAATCATTGTTAAATTCTACACTTTATTTTGATTAGTGTTTTATATGCAAGACTTTAGTACTTATTTAAACAATTACTAAATATATTTGCGGGGGTTTTGAACAAAATCCTCAATAAGTTTCGGCAATTTTGCTAAACTATTATCCGTTTGTATTCTTCGGGAGACTTCGGCCAAGCGGTCAGTCATTACCGTATCGTTCAGTAAAGTCTCGATCGCTGCCAACAACTCCTCCTCTGAGCACTTGTATGCGTCCAGTCGTAGACCAAAGCCCTTGTCCTGCAGTTGCTGTGCGTTATCGTAATGATCGCCAAACAGAGGCATCGCTATCATTGGTTTGCCGAAGAATATGGTTTCGGTGACCGTATTATTGCCGCCGTGTGTTATCACCAGATCTACAAGAGGTAGGACTTGGATCTGAGGCAACCACTCCTCGCCACACATATTGTCAGCCAGAGTGTAGTCCTTATGCAACGGACCCATCGATACGATGAACCGATGCGGCGATTTGGCCAAAATGGCCACAAGTCGGCGCATATTTTCTATATTCATAGCATTGTATTTAATATATGTGCCGACAGAGAAGTAGATCAACTTTCCCGGCTTTGTGGCCAACTCTGGCGGCACAGCAAAAGTCGGGCCACTTTTGCTGCGCATGAAATGATCAAAGCGGACAAAGTTTGGACCCAACGGCCGGATGTCCTGATAGTCTAACTCCAGTGCACAGCCGTATATATTGAGGTAATGCGAGTGATTTTGGAGGGCGTATTTGGGCAGTGGTTCGCAGCCCCGGCTGACCACCCACTTGTTGAACACTCGCCACAATTCCTGACCACTATTTCTAGCGATTTGCCTGAACTCGTGCCATAAGCTCTTGTCTCCCGTAGCGGACAATCCTATCATTTGTTATAACGCATAAATCCAATGCACAGGTGTTTTGCGCGCTCAGCGCCGGTAGGCTTTCTGTGTGGTTACTAACCTGACTGTCCGGGCGGTGTCCTCTCATCGTCGAGCATCACGAGAGGGCCGCAAAACCAGACCCACACACACGGGATGCCCGACAACTGCACCGATGGCAATGTCATCAACTGACTTAATAGTATGACATCGGGCTGAATGGCGGACAATAGGCGGTCCATCTGTTTGTCCATAAGTTTGGCGTATTTTGTAATTACCTCGATATAAGTGGCATAAGTGTCCGCATTACCGGCTTTGTGGATGGCCGCCGCGCCGCCCAACAAACCCGACGCCATCATTAAACTGTCGTTAAACTGTGAGTCCATTTTGGCCAACAATACCTCTTTGATGCCATATTTGGTCAGTTGTCCCGACCAGTGATCGTTGACAGTAAACCACACGTCGTGTCCGCTGCCTATCAATGCCTCTGCGATACCAATAGCGGACATGACGTGACCCCCGGCTAATACCGGTATCATTAATACCTTTAGACTTTTATTGGCCATTATTTGATGTGACAATTGTCTTGTAAACGGCTTTCCCGGCTTACACCTTTATATAGGTGTGTGTCCTAGCACAATTATGTCACATCAGGATTTAGTAATAAAACGTAAAGTCACCATTTAAAATGGAACACCATGATTAGTTAAGTAAGCATTTAAGCAAATTTTTTAAACTAACATGAACTGAACAAGCTAGTAGGTGTGCAGTATTAAAACTTTTAACAATCATTACTTACTAAAATTTAAACACCATATCATACTGTTTGCAATAATATACCAGAATAAATAAACTGCTTAATCATGATATTTTTTAGACAACAAGAAGGTTATTTAGCAAAATGTAAATTCATTAATTCTGAGATGATTTATTTGCAAAACAAAATCGCTTTACAATATTTAATATTAATCTTTCTTAAATAACTTTTATATGTTTGCAGTAAATAAGGCATTCAAAAAGTTTTGAAATTATATTTAAATGAGATATTTTTTGGTCAGATACCCAGATAGATTTTATGAGAGTAAATGAGTGAGTGAGTGAGTGAGTGAGTGAGTGAGAGAGAGAGAGAGACCTAATACAGTATAATACATTATTATTATGGCTAGAAAAAAAGTGACACTTTGGTGACAAAAAATATATATTAAAGTGTAATTTTGTATGTTTTACACCTTAATCTAATACTTTTAATGTAAAATCTCATGAATGAATCATGTTGAAATATACATTAAAAATGTAATTTCTATCTTTAATTATTATAGATATTAATACATCAAAATTATTTTTAAAAAGTTTAATTAATTACAAATTTTAGGAAATTAAATTAATTTACGTAGAATTTATTATTATCTAGGCGGCCAATATGTTTCTTCCAATGTAAATTTGCAATATCTCCCAAACGGGATGAGCTAGCTCAAATTTGTAAACGGTAAAATGATGTCCCATATATCAAATATTTTATCTGAAAAATTTATTCAAATCAC